CTGTTGCTAAAATAAATACCCGGCTAGTCATCAGTCTGTGCTAGACTTGTATGAGATGCTAGGATCAAATGTGTCAAATGCTATAGAGCTGTCATCCAAAACAATTTGGAAACTAAAGCCTTGTCATTCTGGATGGAGAATTTACCTGCCCATTCCCTTTTCTGTAGCCTCCGCCTGAAGCAGAACAATGCCCTGTTCTTTTTAAAGCCTTTCCCTAACCTAGGTGATCTACGAGGTCATGAACTGTGTCAGTTTACCTATACCTACAACAAATCAGCACTCTAATTCCTATGGATTTAAGTGTCATCCATTTGTAGATAATCTGGAGGATTACATTTCTCTGCAAGTCTCTACTTTAATCATTCCTGTTGTCTTGGTGATATTCTACACTGTATGTTCGATCACCTTTCACTGCTAAGGAGGGATAAGACGGATGTTTTATATCTTAGCACGACTGCCCAGCTCCCCACCTGAGGTCTTTCTATTTTGAGGTGTACTCTTCCTAACACCCACAGACTGAATCCTGGCGAGTGCTGGGTATCAAATCCAAGCTAAAGCTTGCAGATGCCACTTACAAAAAAATGTTTCTAAACAATGTGGCTTTTTACTGCCCGACTCTGAAACCTGCTGCTGCTTATAAAGTAAATGAGGACAAATAAATAAGGGGAAGGTGAGAGGGAGAGAAGACACCATTCCACTGTTATAATTACACTGCACAATGCTACTGGTGATTCCTCTTAAATCAGAAAATACATCTGAGGCTTGCATTTCCCACTAAACTTTGCACATTAAGGATCCTTCTCAACTCCGCTTCTACAGTGGGCTTTGTGTAGCTTTCCAGTTTACATCTAGTAAAGAATCACAGCTCTCTCTCCATGTTTACTGCTACTGCTCCTTCTGTATCCCTTCCTAAGCCCGGTTGAGTCTCCTTCCAGCTAGAAATGCGGCTCAAAATTCGGCCATTTGAAGGCATTTCCCTCCGCCTTCGTCATACTCATCTTATCATTTGATTCTGTGGCTGTTCCACACCTGCCCTTTGCATTCCCCATTTCCACATGTTCTTTCTGTCCCTCTCCTGTTTCTTAGTTTCTTCTGTTAGGTCCTGAAATTCTTCTTATTTTGTTAGAGCTACTTCTCAGAGAAACTTCTTTGCCTTCCCACCTTGCTAAGCAACATTTCAGACTAGTCCCCTTAAATCTTTCAGCAGGTTAAACATATTTCTTTCCAACGAGCAGGCTGAAGACTTGGGATTTAATATGAACTCCTTTGAAAGAAATGCCAGAGATGCCCAGAAGACTTCAATACAATGAAAATTCAGACGCCCGTTCAGTGCCCAAACACCAACACTGCTTCCCTCCGAGATTAAGTGGTGGCAAAAGTCTTCACAGAAATGTCTAGTGCTATAAAACAGAACTGAAAGGAAGTTGAAGATCAAGGACCCTGGACCACTATTTGTATAGCAAGCATGAGCCAGAGAATTCCCTCCTGGCGATAAGAGATACAAAGGAAGGAAAATAAAATTATGGAAAGGAAAGGAATTAAAAACAACCCTCTGCAGAGGACACTTTGCTGGGTTTCTCAGCAAGGGCAAATGGCAATACAACCAGGCCACTGACTCTTAACCCACTATGCCAAAGAAGTATTAAACTAAAGCACCATGTGCTCAAAGATCCTGGGACCCAAAGCCAAGGGAGCTACTGGTGCTGGCAAATACTATGGACAACCTCCAGACAGAACTGCAAGCTCTGGGGAAAGGATCAGACTCCAGATCAATTTAATAAAAACAACAACCCAACAACTCTTGTGTTCACATAATTGCTTTAAAAAAAAAAAAAAAAAAAGTGGGCAAACAAGCTTAACTTTACAAAGCAAAAGCTTTGTTCAACAAGAACAAACAAAGCAGACAACCTTTTTATTGCAAAACCAGAAGCAATTGGTGACCCAGCTTCAGGCCGTGTCCTGCCAGATTGACTGGAGACTCTCTCCTGTACCGTATGGTACAAAACTCCATCAGGAAGTCGGTCAGACACAGCATGCTCCCAACGGGAATACTTACAAAAACTAAATGAGGAAAAACAAATAACTGAAGGGTGAGAGAGAAAATCAAAGGTCCATTGTTATAATTACACAGCACGATGACAGAGGTAATGTCTCTTAAATCAGAAAATAAATTTTAGGTTCAAGTTCCCTGAAGGATATAAAATATTAGAGGATTTTTTATGGTTGTAATCACAAACTCATTTCTCCAGCCACTACTGGCCATGTCTAATTAGGGTGAAGTATGTTAATGATACAGCAGCACAGCCCAGAGAC